CTCCAAAATGATCAGTTAACTTGTCAAACTCAGTCAGTTATGTTACATTGGGTGTCCCCGGTCTCTACAGGCACAATCACTAATGGCTGACCTGTGCTTTTCATTACTTTGTATTCTCTGTATTATTTCTCATTGTGACAGTACAAAATGGGTGACTGTTGAATCTTAGAGTACCTGTTTTCAGTTAAAAATGTTCCTTAACCTTTAAGCCAAAACTTGGATCTGTTTGCAAGAACTGCCTTCTAGTAGCAATAGTAATATCTGTGGCACTGATTTTACAAAAATGCCTTTGTTTATTCTTAAATAAGGTGAGGCAATTAAATTCCTATATACACTCAGCCCTATGGTCTAACATAGTTATTAACTTAATCTCTGATTTTGACAGTAAAATTTCTTAATATCATCTGGAATACATTGTTTTGCACAACTGATCTTGCAACAGCCTAATTTTTTTTTGCATGGTTTGTGTTCACTTTTTTCACAAACTTTTATCTTCTATACTATCTCAACCACTGTGAACCCACAAACCCTACAGTTTCTCAATCACCTTGCTGTAATAGAGGCAGCTTTTTGAATAACAAAAGGTAAGTGCTGTATGCCTGGTAAATTAAACTGTTGCCCAGCTGAGGCCTATTGCACAGCCCTTATTCATGTGAGTGGTCCATCAGATGCACGATGGCAGTCTTTCAAGTGTAACAGTATAATTTTGGTGGCTTAAATTTAAAAATTTGATCCAATTCTTTTTGTATAAGTTAGAATGCTGTAAAACATTAAGATTTAAGGTTTGAGGGGGTTTGATGTTTGGGGTTTTGTTTACCATCTAGAACTGAGTCCAGGTTCTCCCAAAAGATTTCTGAATTTTGACAGGTATTTTCAATAGATCTAAGATGGTTGAAATACCACCAAACATGCAGTTTCTAACAGATTGTGATCTGATTTTTATTTGCATTTGCTTGTGCCGACACACAATGCAAAATCTCAAGGAGTACAAGTATATATCAAAATGAAAAGAAGAGGACGTACACACGAGTGAAATCAACAAGTTCTGCATTCTGTTAATGATACAACTTTCAACACATTTATCAATATTGAAATTGGTCATTTTTGCAGTTGAACTTTTAACCAATTTTGACAAAACGCTGAAGATTCTGATCTAAAGTTTATGTAAAGTGCCAGGCTTCAGTCACAATTCCTTACATAAGGCAAGCAGGATTTGGTCTATCCAAGTATCCCGGATCCATCAAAGCATTTTATAAGCATAGAGTACTCTCAATCATTTCACAAAGCTAAATTATCTTAATGTGATTTGGAATATACCAATATGCCATGTTCTTTTTTTTCCCCAAAATGATCTCTCAGTATCACGATTTTTCACAACAAAATTTGTAGAACTAGCATCCATTTTCAGCAGTTTACAGGAGCATGATCTGTGATCACTTTTTCACACACTTCCATGATTATTTCAATGGTATAATTAACAATCTTAATATTTAAGCATGTGCTTATGTACATTAGCGAATGCTTATCTTGTACAGAATTAAAAAGATCAGTTCAAACCTTGTTTAGAGAATGTCTGCACATTAGACAAAGTAAAACTGCTCCTTACTTTTTTATGTTCAAAATGAAACCACAGAGAACAGATTCATTGCTTAATGCACCATAACTAAACCTCTGAACTTTAAGTAGAGTGGTGAGAGAGCATTTGATTTTTTCACGTAAAATGATATAAATTCAATTCCAAGGTGACAATTCATTAGATTGTTCTAATCTGGGCCCAGAACACACACTATAAAGCAAAATTGACTAAATCTTGCTGAATTTAGTCAGTCCTCTCTCCAACCTGACTGAGGTCCATAAAATTATACAGGTTTAATTGAAAGGATCATTTGGCCAGTTTTTACTTGAGTAGTTGATTAAACAATCCTTATTATATTTTATAAGCATATTTTAATATGACTATACTTTTCTTTCAGAGTTTGTACTTTCTTGCCAAACTTCTGTCTTTATCTTGCCTTACCTGTGCTTATCATATATTTGACAGAGCTACAAGGGAATAGTTCCTTTATGAATAGTGTTATGGGAAGATCATCTGCTAAATACGGGACAAAATTCTATGTCCCTTTGCTTCAGTTCATCTAGAAGAAAAAAATATGCTAATATGCACATTTATGTGTACTGCTTATTGGGGATTCTACCACTGCTTTTTAAAGCAGATCCCTGATGCATCTGCATTCCTTGCTTGTGCATTATTTGTTCTTGCTTTGCTCTAGGTGATTGTCACTCCTGTGTCAGGACAGACCAGCATGCCTGTGCATGTCTCTGATGCACAGGGACACAATAAAAATAAAGTGTCTTTAACTAAAAAGAAAAAAACAAATACTCCAAGCAATCATCAGAAAGAAAAGACGAGAGAAGGTAAGAAATCCACCATTTATATGGGTGTGCTCCCCACCCCAAAAAATTACATCTAACATTGCAGACTTAAGAGTCCATGCAAACCATTATTCATAGATCATGGGTTTCATAGAGACATACATATAATAATCAAGGTTTGTTAAAGCAACTAGTAATCTTGGAAACGTGATTTTCAGACAAGTTGGTATTCTGCACTTCTTGAAAATAAGGCCCCATTAAGTTGTCTGAAATTGAGCATCCTAATTTATAAGAAATTCCTGAATCGGTTCCTGAAATACCTGTTCTGTGTTCTCACGCATGCTTCTTTTAAAATTTTATTTCTGTTTTGAATGATTGAGTTACAATTTTAAGTGGCTATTTTTATGAACTTTCAGTCAAAAAATGCAAATCAAAGTTGTCTGATTGTTCAGTATTTTCTAAATGAGTTTTTTACGTTACTGTAGGTTGTTACAATGTGGGTGCATCTACATGAGCTATTAATGTGGCTCAATAAACTCTGGCACAGTTTGCACTGGAGTCTTCTGCTCCAGGGTTCAACGTTTTCATGTGCTCTTGGGACCTCAGCAGTCTGAGCTGGGACAGCCCCGGGGTGGCAGCAGGCTCGGTTGAGGGGTTAGCCCCAGGTTCCAGATGGCAACATTGGGGATGACTGGGGCACAAGAGTGCCGAAAATGTAGATCCATAAGGCTGACCCCTGAGCCTACTGCCAGCCTGGGCCTGCTCAGTCCCAGCTCAAACTGCTGTGGTCCTGGTCACCATCCCACACATGCATTTCTGTGTAGCAAATAACTCTGCTGTAAGATAGTCCTGTTCCAACAATACTATCTTATGGCAGAGTTAATTAATTTACTGTACCCTGTGCACGTGTAGACAGTGATGCTTTACTGAGGAGCTAATTAGTCAACTGCAGTAAAGCGTATGTGTAGATCCACCAAGTGAGTGTTATTCAACACTAATTTATTCTTGCTAGCAGACATTATGATTTATTTCTGTACGATGTCTTGGCTTCCAGCCATACCAAAATTACAATATTTTTAAGAAATCTTGTATCATGTTTGTGTCCAAGTACTGGTAAGTAAACAGTTTTTTCCATTGTAGGTGGGACCAAAATATGTTATATTTACTTTTGTTATGAGACAATTCCTTAGTCCCAATTTCTCTACTGTCTCCTTAAAAAAGGAAAAATAAGAAAATATTATTTTTTAGAAGTATTCCTTTCCCGTTGTCCATCTTTATATTGCTTATTGGGGTCAGATCTAAACGTTACTAGTTTATGTAATCCTTATGATTGTCAGTAGTCCTGTAAAGGACATTATTTATGTGAAAGACTCACTGAGGAGTGAAACTTTTGCAGATTCAGTCTTCTTTAGGAAGGGAACTGTTTACCTGCTTCTCCATAAAGGTTTCAGCTCACATTTAACTTTATGTGAAAATGGTAACACTTCTAGTCCAAGGTCTCCTTACGCAGGCGTGGGAAGAGAAAAAGGAGGGGGGGAAGCTCATAAACAAAGACAAACACTGCATATTCTTGTGCTATATTAAGTTCAGTAAACATGTGGGGAATTGTATTACTTCCTCTATATCAGATTTTGTTAAGCCACATGTAGAAGAGATTATTGCCACAGAAGAGACACCTGATCCAAATGAAATCCCAATTGTAGAAGAGGAGGATGATGCAGAAGGCAACAAGCAAGCAGCAAGGGTGAATGATGTGCAGTCTGCAGCAGCAAAAATAGTTCTTTATCCCACAGAAAGCCTCGAGAGACAGGAAGAAAAATCAGTAGAAACAAATGGCTGAGTGAAACTGTACTGTCATGTATGTATAATGATCAATATTGAGCTTGCAATGAACTCTAAGAGAATTGCAGTATATCCATAATATTTTAAAAGACACCCATTGATTTTTCTTATTACCTTTATCATAGCTTCACAACGTAGGCTGGTTTTTGTTTATACTGTGTGTTCACATTTTAATGTCATGTATGAATTGCATTGTGGTTGCTTCTAAGTATATTTTACAGTGTAATGGAGCAATGATCCATGTATTGATAAAGTGATTCAATACAGTGTAAAAATCACTGAAATGAGTAGAAGGCATAACAATATAATCTGTCAATAAACAACATGTTTATGACCCTATAAAAAAAAATATTGACCTGGTATAGAGTGCTGCAAATGTATGGTAATCATGAAGCTTAAAAGCAGAGAGTCTTTACTAATTGACATCTAGAGGCCTCACATACAGCCACCCAAATGTAATGTTGATTGTACCTTTTACCATTACCACCAAGAGCACAGACAGAAGTGTAACTCCTGGGTCTAACACAAGGTGACTTCTATGAATCACCAATTTGGAGCTGATCCAGGGAGAGAAGCTGTGCCTTCCCTAGTCTCTGCTCACCTACTAACCTCCCTCCCCCCAACCTCAGAGTGGTAGGGTGGGTAGATTGGAGCTCCAATCCCCCCCCACCACTCTAGCAGGGCTGAGAACCCCAGAAGGGACCTCCCTCCCCTGCCTTCTCCCCCTTCCATCCAGGGACAGCAGCCGCAGTTCACTGTGCTGCTGCTGAAGCAGACAGAAATTAGTTAAGTCGTTCCACTTAGGAGTGACTTCATTTAAACCCTCATACAATGGGGATTACTATGTCTCACAATCAGAGGGCTCTGTAGCCATGCTCTTCTGTTTCAGCGTGGCTTTAAAGTGATCTTAAGGGGCCAATCACACAACAAAAGTCATTTCTGTCTGTGCCCCAGATGACTCTATCCTTAAGGGGCTGTTGTAGTCATAGATAAGGCCTCAGGACCTTCTCCCTCAGAAACATGGTAGCAGCACCCTGAGAGTAGAAGTACCTGGGTTTCACTCACTCATACCCACCTGCAGCTTAGAACTGATTGAGCTTTATCATTTTTCATCACCACCATTAAATTTTTCATTCACTGTCATCTTCCCCTACTCCTACCCACCAAGTCTTGGCCAGGGCGTTGTGGACTCTATAAAAAAAAAATCTAACATTTCAAGTGTGCCATGTTTAGGGACAATTAAAGTACATTTTTAGTCTGGTACTGCTAATAATTTTTTTGATAAATAAGATAGAAGTTTCAGACAAACTAGAACTTAAACAATTTAGAACTGAATGGAAGACAGCAAATTGCCTGAAGATTCAAAATAGCACAGAGCAAAATGTTTATCGCTAAGCAAGAAATTCAGAAGAATCCACGCCCCACCCCCCAAAAAGTCCATACACATCTAAGCCTAACCTCCTCCTAACACTGCTCCTATCAGACCAAGCTACTGTCTGACACAAGGCTAGATTTACTACTGCATTATTCCTGTATTACACAAAAGTCACTCCATTGAAATCAATGGGAAATGGAAACAGCAATGGTGAATCAGCCTAACAAATACGACCTGTAATTTTACAACAGGTTTCACAGAGAAACACAGGAGTGATTTGTCTCTATAAGAATTGTTTTTAGTGGTAACCCAAATAATACATATACTGGTAGACATGTATTAGTGCTTGAGTGTAGCAGGAAATGATTAATACTCTACAAGAGAAATGATGACTACATCACTTAGTGAGAAAGCAGCAGTTTGAGAAACGCTGTTCTTTCAAAATATCACTAATATACGGAAGTTGGCATCTGCTGCCTGCTTTGTATGCTTCTTAACCATTTCTTTGTCATAGCAGTTGCTTGAATCCTGCAAACCCCTTGTAAAAATCAATCATCTTCTATAGCTCCTCTGCAAGGAAATTAGTTTTACAGAACACGGACACCTGTATTGTTATATAAATGATATAATGCAGGGTTTTGCCATTGAGTGGTGGATTGAGCTCCTACTCAATTGGCATTAATAGACAACTTTTAATGGACTTTAATGGGACTTTAAACCAGGGTCTGAAAGAACCAATCTGAAAGAACATTCTAAAATGCTCACAAAACTTCACATTTAGGAACCAGTTCTGCTCCTACTAGGGTCTGTAACAGAACTCTGCTGGAAAAGAACTGGGGCTGCAGGTATTGTAAAAAAAAAAAAAAAAATAGATTTTTGCTTCTGTTATCATCAAAACTTGTGGAAAGAATTTTATATCAGTGAACTTACATTAGAGTATTGTTTAGTTTGGTTTTTCAGTTTATTGTCTTAAAGAACTGGAAACCAACACATTTGTTCTGTTAGGAACTGCTCACTAGCCACTCAAGTGTTATTACATAAAATAAACAAAATACAAACAGTTAGTGCATGGTAACTAAGTAAAGCCTTTAAAATTCTAATTTTAATTATTTAAGTTAGTGTCATTCACAAGTGCATGAAAAAATACTTTTAACAATACTGTAATAAAAGAACTGCTGAGTGTTGTCATTTAACAATAAAATTGAATAAAAAGTTTTCTTGGACCCTAATCTTTTAAAGAGATGCTTATAGGTTCCATTCTTGTGACATACAACAAAATGTTGTTCTTTTGTTCTCACTCCATTACATAATGACAGAATGTGATGCATTTCTAAAATGATAGACGCTTCTATTATATATGCCAAGATATTTGTAACTACATTTTAAACAAACATCCTGGTCATTACAGTGCTTATCTGGAGTACTGCTTTTGGGTAATGACCTCCTTTCATCACCTAAATATCCCATTCCTGCGAATACTATTCTTCATACTTAAGTTTATAATCCTATTGTAAACTCATCTCCTGATGGTGTGACACCTAGGTTCAACAACATAAACACAGAATAGTTCACATACAAAGAGTGTGAATGAAGGATCACATGCATGAGTCTGTTATTTATCTCCCAAAATTATAAAGTATGCATTTTAAAGATGGGGAAAGATGAGTTGTGAAAAAATGTTTCCTTTTGACTTAGGCAGAAGGGTCTGATCTCTGTTCTTATTAGCTATAAGTGAGTATAATGATTTCTGTGGTGTTGTGAAAAAACAAGTCTGTATATCTGTGGTTCTTGTTGCTCTTGACTTCTTGTAGGGGTGAGTTCAAGATTTATTGCCTAATCATTGAAAACGATCTGTCTGTAGACTCAGGCTGCTAAAACCCAATGCTACAGTACACAAAGCTATTTTATTTGCATCATCTGGTTGCAAGTTAAAATAATTACCATGTTAGATATTCAGCCTGACTCCCCTAACAATAGCCATAAACTGAACACATGAATAATAATATTCCAGTCAATCTATGTTTCTGCTTGCTGGAATGGAAGAACAAATCTTTACACACAACAGATTCCATTGTCCTGAAGACAGAACAACAATTTGTAAGAACTGAAGCAAAGTGTTATTGGGAGAAGAGCAAAGAGCAGCAGATCACATGAAAATTAAAATGTACAAGGAATAATTGATTTAATCTGTATAGGAACCTGAATAGAAAAGAAAAATTAAGAGAAAATGAGTGTGGGAGATGGTCAGGGAGAAATGAAAGTGGAGAGAGACATTAAAATGGACCACTTTCCTTCATTGACATGTTGTCTAAGTTGTCTCCCTCAACTGCTCATTATGTTTAAGGGCCTCTTTTCTGATGTCAACTCTTACCTGTCTCTGGCAGTAGACATTCGTACAGTAGAGAGCAGCCACCCCCCTCAGGCTCAAGAGAGTATTCAGGATGACTATGTGCTTTTGGCAGCTTCCCTCAGCAGCTGTGCTGCTAGGCTACAAAGTGCACCCTGAGAAGGCAACAGCTGCTGAAAGGACTTACAGCAAGTGGAAAGCATGGGTGTGTCACATCAGTGGTTCTCAGCCTTTTTAGACTCAAAGCATGCCTTACTACATGCCAGGCTCCCTTTGGAAAATGCCAGTTCTTAGTTTTCACTTGATATTTGATTACCCAAAAAAAAAAAAAAGAGGAATTCCTGTTGCAATTCAGAAAGACCCAAACAAGTCAGAATGCTTTTAACACTATGGATTCCTATTTGAAAACTCTGGGTTTATCTTGTAAATCATGTTAGCACAGCTAACATTGCAGAGCAGCCTGGGGGCCACGGCACCCTGATTGAAAATCACATGTCTACATGAAACATTACTTTGTTAGGGGAAATGTTTAACCTTGGCAGCAAGCAGGAGAATTCTGCCATCTTAGAGAAATTTTGAATCTGTCTACGCTCAAAATTTTGCCAGCACAACTTAAGTTCTATTGAGAAAACGTTGTGGTGTAAACGTGGCCACTTAATAACGTGTACAAGCACCCTTACTCTTACCCTTTCTGTGTGCCAGTCTGTCTCCTCTTCCTCATTCTCTTCTCTTCTCCTATCTTCTTAGAGTTTGTCTGCTCATGCTAACACCATCAGAATGAGACCCATTTAAAATCCCAACATACCTGGCAAAAGTACTTGCTTAAAACTCTATTCATAAAAGCAGAACTGGGGAAACCTGGAGCAGGGGAAGGGGAGAAAGCTATAGAAAATGTTTGCCTGCCCTCTTCAGCCTAGCCACAATGGAAAGTTCTAGCTAGAAGGCACCTGTTGTTGAGGAAAATAATGGCTAGTGATTTCAAGAAGAATCAGGACTTTGTCCTCTTATCAGATGATCTGCCTTAGATATTATCAGGCAGTAGTGTGTACAATGCTTGCTAATAATTGTCAGGAATGAAGGAATATTGCTCATGTGGGGCTTGATTTTGCAATGCACGGAGCTCAGTGCTTCGCTCCGCGGCTGTACACACAGCAAACTAAAACCCCTCATAATGTCTGAGGAGTTTTAGTTTGCTGTGCCCCAAGTCATTTAAGGTGCATTATGCTGCCGAATTTCCTACAGCAGCTGGAATTAATGCACAATACTCGGCCGAGGCGTGCGAAGGCTGACACCATTAAAGTGGTGCAAAAGCATTTAGCCCACTTTAAAGTGTCATGCATGTATGCCCCTCGTTTCATCTACACACAGCCTTAGCCTGCCTGTCTGTCTTTCCGTAATGCTTTATTCACACTCTGATTGGCTGTCTCGGCAGCCAATCAGAGTGCTCCAAGAGCGTTCAGATTGCAGGTGGTGGCAGTGCTGTGCTGCCATGGCAGCAGGGACAGAGGGGACGGGGGGCTGAGGCCAGCACAGCTGGCCTTGCCCCCCCCCGCACTCCATGGCGGAGGCAGCAGTGGCAGCATGAGTGGGGTGGGGAACATGGTTGGACTCACAATGGCGGTGCAGGGGAGGGGAGGAATGGGCCCAGGCCCGGGCCTGCCACGATGTGGGGGAGGAGCAGGCCCAGATGCTGTTGTGATGGCAGGGACAGAGGGGAAGAAGCAGGCAGCAGCAATAGAGTGGACAGAGCGGGGTAGAAGGCCATCAGCACTGGCCTACCCCCCCGCTCCCTGGATGCAGCGGTGGCATGGGGTGCTGGGTGGTGGTGCTCATCCACACCCCCCCCCACGACATTCATGGGGAGAGGAGGCAGGAGGACATGGGCCGGATGGATGGGAGGGGATATGGGCCTGGCCCTGCAGTGGGGAGGGCGTGCACAGGGCCCAGCCCAGCCCCAAAACAGTGGCAGAGAGGGTGGGGAGGCAGGGGGCAGTCATTCTTGACAGGCAATTGACTAGTTTGTTATAATTTTCCAGATATAATTTTTGGAGGTTTGCCTTGAAGCTGTCACCCTCCCACTGCTATAGCAGAGAAAATAAATCTTGGGGGATCAAGTAGACTCTTAGCTGCTTCCCCACAATATTTTTCCCTGGCAGCTCCTTCACTTTTTCTTTACTGTCAGACCCTGTTCTCCCTGAACACACAGAAATAAGGAGCAAATTTGAAAACAATTATCTTGAAATTAAACATGGCTATAGCAATTTGCATATAGCACCTACTTAATTAATCCAAAATTGATACATGTTACCTTTTTTGGAACTGCTGCAAGTTTTAGCACAGGTACTCCATAAACACAGTTTTGAACAGCACTTTGCCACCTGCTTAACTTAGGGCTGTGCAAAATGGCAGTGTTTCAATTCAGTTTTGGATTCGGCTGTTTTGGAGGACAGCAATTCATTTCGGATCACTGTCCTGTTTCGTTTTGGCCAAATCTCCTCTGAAGCTATTTCGAACAGGCTGTAAGCTTTGCACAGCCCTACTGCCCAGCTGGGCGGGGCTTGAGGTCAGGGGCTTGGGGCCCCAGCAGGGAGCAAGCTGGGGCCACGGGTGGTTCATCTGGGAGAGCGCCCCTGCCCTCTGTGCAGGTGAGGAGACCCGGGCACAGATCTCCCATCCCTGTCACGCCAGGTCATGGGGCAGGGAAGCAGCACAGAGTGATGAGCAAGCCTGCTGGTCCCTGCTGCATGACCTGGCTCCGCAGGGAGCAGAGATCCACGCCAGGGATTTTCTCGCTTCCGCTGCCCACCCCACGTTGCCCTGGATCTCTGCTCTCTAAGGAACCAGGTCATGCAGCAGGGACCAGCACTGCCCTGCTGCACGACCTGGCTCTGCAGGAGCAGAGATCTGCACTGGGGGTCTCCTTGCCACCACTGCTGACCCCACACTGCCCTGGATTTCTGCTCCCTGCAGAGCCAAGTTGCATGGCAGGGCAGCAGCGTACAGCTATTTCCCTGTAAGCCCGGCTCTGAAACTCCAAAACTTTCCAAAACATTTTCAAAATGTTTCAGATGCTTCATTTCATTTCAGAGATGTTTCAGAGCCTTCCATTTTGATTCGGATTCGGTGTTTCGGGTGCCAAAACAGCCCAAAACACCTCCAAAATGAAACGGCTGCCGAAATTTCGCACAGCCCTACTGCTTATATATAGATGAGGGGAGCTGGTCTTTATGACTGAGAGTGGGACATCTCAAGGTATCCACTCACTAGCAGATGTGGCTTGCACTGTGAAAGAAATGGAGGAATGATTGTGTAATCTGAATACTGATCAGGGGCAAGGAATATGCTTTGCGCTGAATAAAGACCATGATGAGGCCTCTGGATTTTTTTATTAGGGTAGTTAAAAGGTCCAGATGACCAGATGGTGTCACAGGTTACATCTCAAAGGGCACATCTACATGTTGCCATATGGCAACATTGCTACAGCGCCATGCTTTAGTACTTCCAGTATGGGAGGTTACTGAGCTGTGTGCCTGGTACATGGCTAGATTTCACCACTGTCGCCATAGCAGCGCACTACACCACGGAAGTGTACCATTATGGCAACGTAGCTGGAGATCATGTGTAGACCCATGTGATCGCTACATCACCGTAGCATACTGTATGGTGACATAGTTGCTACATTGTTGTAGGGTGACATATAGACTCACCCAAACAAGAATATAATTGCATATAAAAACTGAAAGGGTAATTTGGTTCATGTCAGCCTACATGGAATGTTGTCTAATCAAAGAATAAATATGCCAAATGTGTGAAAAGAATACAATGTACCATTTTTATAGTTTAGTTTTAAAATGTTATGGAAGAAGGTGAGGGGGAGGGGGA